CCCTACTCTAGAGCAACTTGAAGCTAAGTACTCTATTATGGGCAGATAATATTAATATTACATAATATTAATGTAACATATCTCTTTTACTAAAATAGAATGTTTTTAAAGCTCCAACCCTAGTCGTAAAATCTCACTGTTTGATGAGAACCAGCAAGCATTTTTTTTATTATTCTTATCATTATTTTTCTTCCCTTCTTATACAGAAATAGCATTTGTGCAGTGTTTGAAGTGAATTTGTTCACTGACCTGAAGGGCTGCAAAATTAAGGACACAAACGTCAGACTTGAGAACAGGGCCATATTGAATATTTGTGTGTGTGTGTGTACACATGAGGTGATGTTTTACCTTCAAATTGTATGTTTTCCAGTCAGATTACACACATTCAGATTCAGAACTATTCTTTCGTATAACAACTAGTATTATGTTAATCCACAGATTCTCTAGTACAATTTGATATATAACAATTACTTAAATTTCACCTAAGAAAAAAAAACACCCTAAAATACCATGGCTGATTAAAGAAGAGGTCATAACACTACTTTTCACATTTACTAATGTGGAAGTGCTGTCTGACTTTTTTTAATTTAATATATTATGTATTTTGTTGCAACATTTTTTTTATTTAATTTTGTATTATTATTATTTTTTTTTTTTTTTTGCCTTTTTAAATGATAAGATAGATTTGGGGTATGGGGTTGATGGAAGTTGATAAAAAATATTTAACAAATTAATTTGAATAAAAAAATGCTAATAAATAAATAAATAATGCATGTATGTAGAAAATTTGAACTAATGTTGTTTTTAGTGAATTGATAATAAATTAGTGTGTTGATGAAAAGCTAGTAATTACTTAAATCGAAAGTAACATTAAAATAAACAAATGAGGCTGCATGCTTTTATCAAAATAAAAGTGAAACAGATATAGGTCTTATCATATCGTGATTGTTAATCAAAGTTTGTGTTGTGTTGCACTGAGTGACGAGCAGCACTTCATTTACACACGAGCAGCTGATAATATCCTGTTTTCAGAGCAGTTTGGTTCATAGTAAATGCTGTTTCTCACCAACTCTGTCTGTGAAAGCGCTGTGAGTTTAATGTGCATTTTGGATACATAATGTGTGCTATGTTCACTTTATTTACATACACATTCGCATAGTTGACAGCTTTTTTGTGGACAGAAGTTTACAGCATTTCACCAATATTCTGCCAAAATAAAAGCTCAAAGATGTTAAAAATTGAATATTTGAAATTAAAGAATTTAGAACAAATATTTTTATTGTAACTTGTAGTGTTAGTTGGTTCTTGTAAAGAGTGTAAACACCCTTAAATGTAACTGTTATCCGTTTACAGTATTTTAAATGTCATGTGACCATTAACCAACCAAGTGAACCATGAACATGCAAATGTGTCACTAAATCAAAATATTAACTTGAAATGTCATAGAGGACTTTAAATATTTTACATCTAAGGGGTTCAGCTGACAAAAACCTGAAGAACAAAAACAGTTTGTTATGCTAGTGATTATTTTTGATGTTAAGTAGACCAGTAACCAGTTATTTTTGAGTATATTTCTGTTGCATTAACTCACCTGCCATGGTTTCTAAAGTGTTCCTCCTGTCAGCGTGTCCAGGGTTAGTCCAGCATGTCTGATCAGATTAAAGCTCACAATCCCAGTAATTAAAACTTGTGTTACTGGACGACAGTAATTTTCTTCTATCTCTCTTTCGTTCTCTATAAATGTGCATACATGCAAAAACCTTCATGTTTTGCTCTGTATCATCTTCACATCCATTGCCTCATACATACCCACACGCAATAAAAACACACTCTCATTGTCAAGGGCCACTCTGTCTCTCTCTCTCTCTCTCTCTCTCTCACTCACTCACTCACTCACTCACACACACACAAGCTGTGATTAGTTACACAATTCAACATTAACCTGTAAATTAAAATTCCTTGGTGCAATTTGATGGGTGATTTAATTTGGTCCACTCTCTCTCTCTCTCTCTCTCTCACTCACTCACTCACTCACTCACACACACACACACACACACACACACACACACACACACACACACAGTGTTCTGTTGAACTGCTCTGACATCACAGAGTGTCCGCAGGCAGAGAACTGGCAGAGTATGCCCTAGCATTTCTCTTGTTTCCCACACACACACAGACTCACACACACACACACACACACACATGCCTGAAGCACCTTCACCAGCTCACGCGGTGTTGCTCACATGCACACTGCCTTCAGAAAGCACTGACCTTCTTTGCATTTCCAAATGTTAGGCTGAGTGCACTTTCCTTAAGAAGCTATCACACCCTTCAGTGTTTCTGGGTATGTTTCCATTCAATCACTGTTTAGACTGAAGAACAGACAACCATTTGATGATGTTTATGATGTTAAATTAAGTCTGGACTCATTTTTGTTAAGTGCTCTGGGCCTAAAAATGTAGTGTCATCATGCTGGACGCTACAAGTTGAGTTTTATATGCTCATCCACCACTCATCACCACATGCCGGTATCCCAAATATTCTCTAAGTAGGTTAACCAGGAAATCAACCACGAAAGACCTGGTCTTAGCAGTGTTTCTAATGTGTCTCAGCCAAGGGTTCATTGATGTTCCATTTTTAATGTTCCGTAAGTTGCTGTAAGATGATTGTTATTGATTTTTAGTTACGCTTCTTTGTGGAAGTCTCTCCCATTCTTTACCAAACTGACCTATCCATAACTTTTCTGTCCCATTTGTATTATATTAACAGTCAGTTTCTGGCAACATTCAGAAATCTACACTTGATAGGTCTGATATGAGCTCCCATGTATTTTTAGATATTACTCTGTAAGCAGATCTGAGATCATTTGTGCTATTAGTGTTACATTGACATTTGCATTAGTTGTGCAAGTGGAAATTGGTGTGTGTGTGTGTGTGTGAGAGAGCACATTTTCATGTAACTGTTCTGACCTTGTGGTAAATCTGTCTTATATTCGTATTTTGAACGGGATAATGACTCAAATACATTGCCCATTTTAAAACAGTCGCACTAGTTGCGTATTTATTTATTTATTTATTGTTTGTTTGTTTGTTTGTACCTGAGGTCCAGTTACAGTATTGGTAAGAGTTTTACATAAAAATAAGTCATAATTTTGAAATATTTATTTGAAAGGGTATTTTCTACCCTGTTTTTTGATCCTCTAGTTTGAATAAAATTTTCAGAGCAGATCTTGTGCTGAACTGAAGTGATTTACATCTCATATAAAAGGAGTGTTCTTTTGCCAAACATTTAGATTTTGCGACGACATAAGTGATTACATATCAAAATAGTTGTGTTCATTCTACTAAAAGTGTAAACAACTAAAAATAAAACTAAACTAATTTAATTAAAAGTGTTTTTTTTTGCAAAGCTTGGTTACAATTCTGACATACCTATAAATAGCTGTGCCCTATGATCAGCCACTTAGTTGGCCAGTTCCCAAAATGTTCAAATCCTTTGGAAAGTATGCAGAGACAATGTTCTTCCACAACTAAGAACTGCTCGCTGGTCATTGCATGACAAGTTCATAGCTGGCCATAGGGATCAGTGCCTTGTCTAAGTTTCTAAAGTCATTACCCTATTCCCACACTTATTTATTTATTTTCCGAATCCTTGTGTGCAGAGACAATTATTATAACGTACAACTTATAAGTTATTCATTGGTAGGCTGATTTCATGTGGCACTTGCTTTTAAAACATGGCTCTGTATGTTTTCGTGGCCCACCAAGCTCAGCTGTTGTCTAGAGAAAGCTATCTGTTGACATTCCCATTCATCTCAGTGGCAGTTGCCAAGGCTGGCACAGGACCTGCGGAAGTACGCAATTAGAAATCACTTTCTAATCTCAGTTCTGGATACAGCTGTTTTTAAGTCAATGACCTGAGTTGTAAATAATACTTTCATAAAATGCGTACTACATATAGTAATTACTACAACACAGCAGCAACCATAAAATAATTTTTATTGATAACAAATAATAATCCTTCCACCAAGCAGTGCAATTCTTCAGCCACGTTTACCAGACTCAGCAGTGATGCATTAATACTGATGTAATGAAGTCGGGTGTGTTTATAGAGTATTTTACAACAACTTCTAGGTGGTTCAACCAATCATAAGCAAAAAAGGAACAATCCATTTATCATTTGAATTTTGCTTTGAGTAAATGAGAATCAAAGGTTCACTGACTTCCTGCTATGTTTTGTTTTAATATTTCATCAGCTGTGGGTATTCAGATGAAACTAGAGTTCTTCCAGAGGAAGTTCTGGACTGCCAGCAGACAGGTAATCACACACACACACACACACACACACTTTATTTCGTTGTTGAATTAGTTAGCATGTGTTTGTAGTTTATTTGCATTTGCATGAAATACAATGTTTCCTGTGTTAATTTGTGTTTTAATAAATTTTATTACCAAAATAAATACAGTGCTGCTTGAAAGTTTGTGAACCCTTTAGAATTTTCTATATTTCTGCATAAATATGACCCAAAACATAATTAGATTTTCACACAAATCCTGAAAGTAGACAAAGAGAATCCAATCAAACAAAGGAGACACAAATTTATACTTTGTCATTTATTTATTGAGAAAAATGATCCGGTGTTAAATATTTGTGTGGTGCAAAAGTATGTGAATCTTTGCTTTCAGTATCTGGTGTGATCCTCTTTTGCAGCAATAACTGCAAGTAACGTTTCTTGTAACTGCTGATCAGTCCTGCACAACGCCTTGTAGGAATTTTAGCCCATTCCTCAGTACAGAACCACTTCAACTCTGTGATATTGGTGGGTTTCCTCATATGAACTGCTTGCTACAGGTCCTTCCACAAAATTTCAATTCGATTAAGGTCCGGAATTTGACTTGGCCATTCCAAAACATTAACTTTGTTCTTCTTTAACCAATCTTTGGTAGAACGACTTGTGTGCTTGGGGTCGTTGTCTTGCTGCATGACCCACCTTCTCTTGAGATTCAGTTCTTGGACAGATGTCCTGACATTTTCCTTCAGAATTTGCTGGTATAATTCAGAATTCATTGTTCCATCAATGATGGCAAGCCATCCTGAACAAGATGCAGCAAAACAGGCCCAAACCATGATACTGTCACCACCATGTTTCACAGATGGGATAAGGTTCTTATGCTAGAATGCAGAGTTTTCTTTCTCCAAACATAACGCTGCTCATTTAAACCGAAATGTTCTATTGTGGTCTCAACCATCCAAAAAACATGTCTCCAGTATTCCTCTGGCTTGTCCACATGATCTTTAGCAAACTGCAGATGGGCAGTAATGTTCTTTTTGGAGAGCAGTGGCTTTCTTCTTGCGACTCTGCCATGGACAACATGGTTGTTCAGTGTTCTCCTGATGATGGGCTCATAAATATTAACATCAGCCAATGTGAGAAAGGCCTTTAGTTGCTTAGAAGTTAGCCTGCAGTCCTTTGAAACCTAATGGACTTTTACACGTCTTGCTTTTATAGTGTTTTTTGTTGGTGGAGCACTCCTGGGGAGGGTTACAGTGGTCTTGAATTTCCTCCATTTGTACACAATCTGTCTGACTATGAATTTGTGGAGTCCAAACTCGTTAGAGATGGCTTTGAAACCTTTTCTAGCCTGATGAACAACACCAACTCTTTTCCTGAGGTCCTCAGAAATCTCATTTGTTTGTGCCATAATGTTTGTGCCACTTCCACAAACATGACCAAACTTTGATAGATCCCTGTTCTTTAAATAAAACAGGGCACACACTGACACCTGATAGTCATCTCACTGATTGAAAACACCTCTGAACAGATGGACTCTAATTTCACCTTCAAATTAACAGCTAATCCTAGAAATTCACATACTTTTGCCGCTCACAGATATGTAATATTGGATCATTTTCCAGAATAAATAAATGATAAAGTATATATTTTTATCTCATTTGTTTGATTGGGTTCTCTTTATCAACTTTCAGGACTTGCATGAAAATCTGATGATTTTTTGGGGTTATATTTATGCAGAAATATAGACAATTCTAAAGGGTTCACAAACTTTCAAGCAGCACTGTATATGCAGAAATTTTAAGCATATTTTCATGTTTTATAATAATGTTACAACCCACCTCACCTAGTTACAACTAACCCGAGTAGTGGGGTAGGTCGGTCCAATAGAAGTAAACGGGGAATATCACTTTACAGTCCCCCCCAAATTGTCAGTGATTTATTTGTTTGTTTGTTTGTTTAGATGAATGTTTTGGGTGATTCAACCATTTTAAATTTCATTTAAAAAGAAAATCTGTATTTTACTTCATTGCCTAATAGCTTTTTAAACTACATTGCCTAAAACCATCACCCTAATGTTACAGTCTATCAAATTTGTAAGTATTGATGTCCTTGCACTTATTGCACTTAAGTTCTGTTATGTCTGGTGAAATCCAAAAACTGCATTTCATGATAAGAACTTCATATTAACAGCTTCTGTAGCTGAAGCATGGTTGCGTCATGCAGAATGACAATGATCAAAGCATACAAGCAAGTCAACCTCATAATGGTTGAAGAACAAGAAAATGTAAGTTTTGGAATGGCCAAGTCAAAGACCAGGTTCAACTGAAATGTGCAGTTCATGCTCGAAAGCCTATAAATGTCACTGAGCTGAAACAGTTCTGTGAGAAGGAGTGGGCCAAACCCACCACAGTGCTGCTGGACACTCATTAAGAATGACCTATTCTCACTGCATGGGCATCAGAGCCATGAGCAAGATAAAGCAACGTGCTCGTCACTCTTTGAATAGCCACACTATTTTTATTTACATTTATGTTATTCTTTTTTTTTTTGTGATCCTAACCCAATGCCTACTCCCAAACCCATTCATATCTCCATATAAAATGACAATATACAACACAGGATAATAACATGTGGATACAAGTACAGTCACAGTAATTTATTTTTAAATTGACAAATATTCCAATTATTCCAAAATATTTTTTCCCTGATATTGTTTGCTGCCATAATAGTCTTCTTATTTTGCATCCGTTAGTGTGCAGCACTTGACGGGAAGTGTTCCATCAGCTGTGACAATGATGTGAGTGTCAACATTTGCTCTTTTTTTCTTTTTCACTATTTGCAGTACACCATTGTTCATGTTTTTGTTGTTTTTCTACCACCTGTACCACTTTTCTGTTGCCCCACCCAATGTAGGAAATCAGCTGTTACCTCATTGACAACAATGGATTCATAATTGTGGCTGAGGATCTGTCTTTGGTGAGGGACAATTATCTGAAGTATTATCCAGTTGTACCATATACTGTATACTTACCTGACTATTCATACATACTTAATAAATGTATAATCAATAAATATTTTTTATTCAATAAGCTAAAGTACAGTATGCATTTGTGCATGTGTGTGAATAAAATGAATAAAAGACTGTACTTTGCTAGATTTTTATTTTTAGTATCACAGTTTATCTCAGTTGCTTAGACACAATCCATTCTAACCCTAACCCTATCCTTGTTTTTTTCAGACTGGTGTGTTCTTTGGAGAGGCTGAGGGAGCTGTGATGAGCAAACTTGTTTCAATGGGTTCTTTTAAGAGGTATGTCAATGCTGAATGAGACACAATACATTAGATTGTTTCTCTTGAGTATGAACAGACTACATTTTTAGTCAATTGGTGTTATAAAACAAGTTGGAGGAAGAGAAAATGCATCATTAGAGAAAGACACACTGAGCAAAAATATATCCCACACTGTACTGAATATTAAATAATGACCCTTGACCCCCCCTTATCTAATACGCTAAACTGATAACTTAGTTACTGCTAAAAGTTAAATTCCCAAAATGTTTAACATTAAATATAGTTTCTAACCTCAATCAATTGAGCTGTAAATGAGATTGTAAATATGATTTTGAGTTTTTTTATTTTTATTTACTACATATAGCTGTCAAGGTTTTATAAAATAAACACATTAGCAAGCATGTAATCATTTATTGATGACAATCAGTAACTAGTTGATTGATAATAGTTTCAACTTTAGATTAGGTACTGCAAAAACATAAACAATTAATAAATAAGATTTTAATCAGCTTTAATAATTTGTATTCAGTTTAAACCACAGGTTTAATGACATTTAAGTATTCAAATACACATTAATAAATAATCCGTCAAGCAGTTATCTGTTAAAAACATTTGTATATTTTTATAAATTACATGATCATATATGAATTGAACGTTAAATATTATTGTACTTTGCGTTTAATTTAATCTGTCATTATTTAATTCCAATAAGTTAATTAGTAAACATGTACAAGCACATTGTCTCTTGTTTGTAGCTTTTTGAAATATATTTACTAATGGTCTGTTAAGCATCATATACTGTGTAGTTCAAGTATACATGTTAGTTCAAGTTTTATTAATGAAAGTCATTATAAAATGTTACCACAGATTTAAAAACTTTATACGATTCAAAACCATGAATCCTGCAAACCAACAATCTCTGGTTTCTAGTTCCTAATCATCATGGGAATTATTTATTATTTCCTGACAGTATATTTGTTCATTCATTGAATTACTGTGAATTAAATTATGATGGAATTGATTTGAAACAAGGACATTCTCAACCCAGGCTAATTGGAAATATCTGACTGTGGTGACATTTCTGCAAAAGTATATTATGGTGCTTCTTGTATGTTTCGTGACACTTTTGAAGTGAGTGACCCGAAAATCATGTTCAGTTTTATCCTAAAATATAAATAATGTAGCAATGTATTATGTTAGTTATTGTACATGTATTATGTATCACAGCAGTTCTCAAATGTGATGCCTGGAGAGTGACCCTAAAGGCATAATGTTTTATAATGTTTGAAAATAACTATATTAAACAATACCACCTACACCAAACCCTGACCTATACCTAACCGACAGTGTTAACAAAAATAAATGTCAGATAAAATGCACTTGCTGAAGCACCCTTGGCATTTTAGCTTGCCTCTACGAATCTTTGAGCCCTTTAATCGTGACTCATGCTTCACAGAACCGTACCCGAGCACTCCGCATCGCATGTTCAATGTTTACTACGTCAGAAAACCATACATATGCAATTGGTTATGTGATGCAAACATGAAAATGTATTAGTTTAGTAAAGTGTGCTTTGAGGTCATGAGATAAACTATTGTGCAAGTAACTGCACAGAAATAAGTCTTTATTAACTGATAATCAGTGTTCATATCAACTGGAAACTGTAAATTGTATGTACAGATACGTTTTAGACTAAAAAATAAAGTTAGAGCACGTATTTCCACTGTGTCTATGTTAGGAACTTTGTGATTTGGGGCTGCGTTCTGCAGGGCAAACATTCAGAATTAGTGAATGTTATGTTTTAAGCTCAGGAAAAATATTTATTCATATAAGATCTATGAAAGCAGCTTCTTTGTATTTTAATATCATTTGGATTGCTCATGAGAAAGGAGAGAGAGAGATGATGATGATGAATACTCTCCCATATATACACATGGATGTGAAATGAGTCTTCTGCATACATGAGGTACAGAAAGAGCTGCAAGCAATGACTATAATTATCTTTGGTTTACAATTAAATGTGATGGAAAAGAAGACCAGCTCAGGGCCTTACACACACAAATACACACAACTCACTCTCATTACTGTAAAATAACTTGTGAGAATACATGTGGTGTACTATACACCGCGTGCATAATTATTTGGTACATTGATATTCTGATGATATTTTTTTCCAAGCACATTTTACCAATTCCAAACCACATCAATCTTAATAACTACTATTGGTTTTGTATTTAATCATTTATAAGTGATATATAATTGTCTATGAAGGTTGGAAGTGAAAAACTCCTTATATTCAGGTGTGCAGAATTATTAGGCATGTTTTCTTTTACTGATGAAATGAGCCAAAAAAGAGGTTTAACTCGGACTGAAAAAATTATGAATCCCCATGAGAAATATTCAAAACTAATGCAATACAGAAATTGCAAAGTTAAGACATGACCATTGGACAGCAAAATGCTCACTGGGTCAGCGGGGTCAGAAAAAAACAGGTGGAGAAGAAAAGATACATGTTAATTGCAAAAGATTTAAGAATTAATGTGAAGAATTAGGTGTAAAAGCATCAGGAAACATTTAAACTCCAGCGCCAGCATTTTACAGAACTGCAACCTTCCTGGAGTCTCTAGAATTACAGGGTGTCAGGTTCCTAAAAAATGTCCCTCACTTAATAAGAATAACATGCTGAAGTAGGGCTGTGCAAAAAATCGAATCAAGCTACACAAAATCGCAGGCGATTCATTGCCGATTTTGAACGCGATTTTGTGTAGCTTGTCAGTGAACTACGGCTCTGTGTAGTAAATGCTGCTCCATCTGAATGCACGTGCTGGAGATTTACTGCTAATCACAGGAGCGGCTTTACTGACGAGATGCGCATGAAAATCGCATTCGATTTTTTGCACAGCCCTATGCTGAAGTATTGTGAAATACATTAAGACTATTTTTTATAGGCTTTATAGACAGATAAGTTTTGAGTGACACTTGAAGGACCAGCACCACATCCTCTTGTTCCACTGTTTGAAGAATTTATCTTCCAGAATCTGGCAGTAAGTTTTAGAAGCTCATTTTTAGTCAATCCTGCAAGACAGACTTTTCAGGATAGGAGATGGAATAACACGACACTGCTCCACTGATCAAGTACTGGTTACTCCACTGCACACCTCGGATCACTTCCTCCTCCCTCTTAACCTCAACATGGTTCCTGACACAACACATACCCCTCCACATGTCATCTGTTGATGCTAACAGTGCTACTTTCTGCTCCACTCTTACATCTTGTTTAGACACTGTCTGCCCCTTGTCTTCCAGGCCAGCTCGTACCACCCCTTCTGCCCCTTGGCTGTCTGATGTTCTCCACGAGCATCGTTCTAAGCTAAGCGCTGCTGAAAGGGTGTGCCGCAATTCAAAAAATACTACTGACCTTAATGTGTATCAGTCACTCCTCTCTTCCTTCTCAGCTAATGTCTCCACTGCTAAAAGGACATACTATCATAACAAAATTAACAATTCGTCTAACTCTCGCATGCTCTTTAAAACATTTTCCTCCCTCATTTGTCCTCCTCCTCCCCCTCCTTCATCAACTCTAACAGCTGACGACTTTGCCACTTTCTTCATTAATAAAATTAATACTATCAGTACACAATTTTCCACACCACAATCTGTCAAGCACATCTTACCAGCAAACATACACTCGTTCACATCCTTCTCTTCACTCTCTGAGGCAGAAGTCTCCAAACTCATCCTTTCTAATCATCCTATCCGCTTG